CTTATCCCTTTGTGTGTGGAAGGGACGGAGATGGGACAGACTTTTGAGGTGTCGAATTTTGTGGGGGCAGCAGATACCGCGCACTGCCACTCGGGCGTAGGAACGGCCCCGAGAAAAGGGGGTCTCCCAGGATCGAAGGTCCAGAGGCGTCTTATTGAGAGCGAAAAGGGATGAGGTCCCCAGGGGGACATCGTGATTGGGGTCTGTTCAGTCAGCTTGCTGGAAAGGGACATGTGCAGGTCCCTCGGCGGATGGCTCAGTGAGCACCCTCCGGATGTGCCAAACAGTCGTTGGTTGGCGGTTCGGAGTCCCGTTTGCACTCTTATAGGGGMCTGCGTGCTTAGCAGCCCCCTTGCAGTCGACGAAGGCGACATTCCGGGCGTGGTTTTTGGGACCTTGTACTCGAGTTACGAGGGACTCTTTGCACACGCTTTGGGTGGTTTCCAGTTTGCGAGGGATGGGCGAGTCGTGCTTTGGTGGTCGAGCGAACATTTTTGCGGCGCCGTTCAGGTCCATGGTCGTCTCTCTTGGAGGGCTTATTTCACGACAGCTTGGTCGTCGTTGGCGGCGGTCGCGGCTGTCGGGGCTTTCCTATGCCGTGGTGCTGGGTTGTGGATCGTTGCGTTCACCCTCGCTCATCATCTTGCGATGATTGGCGCCTGATCGYCGACGGCGGTCCGGTTGGCGCTCGTTTGCAGGGTGTGGAGGCGGAGGTGCCCGTCACCGGCTCTCAGCTTCGGCACCATCGTCCCGTAGGTTACGGGGAGATCTGTTGCGGCTCGTGGTGTCATCTTCGTGTCCGCTCTCACAACGGCGCGTTCCGTTTGTGTTGAGGGGGTGTCACGACTTGGTGAGGACGCTCTGCGCTCTTTGCCATCCGAGCGGCGCCATTGAGCGGTGGCGCACGTGGCCTCGGCCATGCACCCGCTGCTTACCGTATGTGAGGGCGGAGACTTGTGGGATGCGTGATGCACCCTCCGACCGCGTCGCGAGGCTGGGCCCGTCATCCGCCCGACTATTTGGAATGCGCTCTTGTGCCCGTCGTGTCCCCCATCCTGTGGTCTCGGTATGCTGCACACCRTGACGGATCGCGTTGCGTCGTGGTTCCGCTGCGTTTGGGTTGTGGGCTTCGAAGGCTACTGTCCTCTGTCTCTTGGGTTTCGCCGGCGTCGAGTGATGTCTCTGGTACCCACGGCAACCGACGGATGTGGACCCAGGGGGGAGAGGGGTTGTGTTCCTTTTGCGCCCCCGTGCACAGGTGGAGGCTTTCCGTCCGTCCGGGCGTGTTGGAAGCGTGGTGCATTCGTTTCTCTCTTCACCCACGTTTCTCGATGGAGAGATGAGGTTGTGCACTTCGCTGTCGGTACGTTTTGGGCGGGCGGTGGCATCCGCCTGTGCGCCGAAGCTGTCGGTGGTTCCTTCGCGCGCGCCGTTGTTCGGGTAGTGTGGTTAACTTGCGATCTCTGGGTGTGGTGTGGGCGGGTGCTGTTCGCAGCCAATCTCTTGGGCGGGTGCGGCGGGCTGTGTTGGATTGTGCGGTACCTTGCCGTTGGAGATGGCCTACGGAGGGAAGTTCACCTGCAATTCAAACAGCCGGACTTCGCGGCGTCTCGGCAGCTCATTGCACGTTCCACGATTGTTCGACGTTCTTTTGGTAGGCTGTCCGACGTGACGTGCCTACGTGCGCCTCGGCCATTGCTCCTTGCGGCTGCTCGTCACACTCGCTACCTGGTTGATCCTGCCTGTAGTCATATGCTTGTCTCAAAAACTAAGCCATGCACGTCTAAGTGTGAACACTTTGCACTGTGAAACTTCGAATGGCTCATTAAATCTGTTATCATTTATTTGGTGGTCTCCTTACCACTCGGATAACAGTGGTAATTCTAGAGCTAATAATTGCAGCATATCCCGACTTCTGGAAGGGATGAATTTATTGGATAAAAGGCCGATCCGGGCTTGCGTGTTGTTGCGGCGAATCATGGTGACTTGTCGAATCGCATGGCCTTTGAGCCGGCGATGTTCCATTCAAATTKCTGCCCTATCAACTTTCGATGGTAGGATAGAGGCCTACCATGGTGGTTACGGGTGACGGAGAATGAGGGTTCGATTCCGGAGAGGGAGCCTGAGAGATGGCTACCACATCCAAGGAAGGCAGCAGGCGCGTAAATTACCCAATCCTGACATAGGGAGGCAGTGACAATAAATAACAATACTGGGCTCTTTCGAGTCGGGTAATTGGAATGAGAATAGTCGTAAACTCCTTGAACGAGGATCCATTGGAGGGCAAGTCTGGTGCCAGCAGCCGCGGTAATTCCAGCTCCAATAGCGTATATTTAAGTTGTTGCAGTTAAAAAGCTCGTAGTTGGATTTTGGGTGGGAGGGGTTGGTCCGCTCTTGCGGGCGTGTACCGGCCCTTTCACCTTACTTGTCGGGTAGGCGTTCCTTGCCTTTATTAGCTGGGATCCAGAGCCGGCGCTGTTACTTTGAAAAAATTAGAGTGCTCAAAGCAGGCCTGTGCTCTGAACATATTAGCATGGAATAACGCAATAGGACTCTGCTCCTATTTCGTTGGTCTTCGGGATTGGAGTAATGATTAATAGAGACGGTTGGGGGCATTCGTATTCCATTGTCAGAGGTGAAATTCTTGGATTTATGGATGACGAACTTCTGCGAGAGCATTTGCCAAGGATGTTCTCATTAATCAATAACGAAAGTTGGGGGATCGAAGACGATCAGATACTGTCCTTGTCTCAACCATAAACGATGCCGACTAGGGATTGGCGGATGTCTATTGGATGACTCTGCCAGCACCTTGTGAGAAATCAAAGTTTACGGGTTCCGGRGGGAGTATGGTCGCAAGGCTGAAACTTAAAGGAATTGATGGAAGGGCACCACCAGGCGTGGACCCTGAGGCTTAATTTGACTCAACACGGGGAAACTCACCAGGTCCAGACATAGCAAGGATTGACAGATTGAGAGCTCTTTCTTGATTCTATGGGTGGTGGTGCATGGCCGTTCTTAATTGGTGGAGTGATTTGTCTGGTTAGTTCTGTTAACGAACGAGACCTCAGCCTGCTAAATAGCTACGCGGGGACCTTGGCCAGCTTCTTAGAGGGACTCTTGGACGACTAGCCAACGGAAGTTTGAGGCAATAACAGGTCTGTGATGCCCTTAGATGTTMTGGGCCGCACGCGCGCTACACTGATAAATCCAACGAGTCGCTTGCCTGGGTCGAAAGGCCCGGGTAACCTTCTTAAGGTTCATCGTG